TATATGTTATCGATACAATTCTTTTATTACTATTTACCAATAAATGTAATAACGTCTACTTTTATGGTTATAAATTGCTGTGTCATCTTCGCCCGCTAAGGTTCATTTATTCGCCCCAACATCATACAGCTTCAGCGAAACCGGTGTGTGACAGTGATACTTGCGACCTTTGAGATGACCCCGACCGAAGTCAGCGAATAGTTATTTTGCTTCAGTTATGTTTTATGTATCTGTGGAATGATCTCATATATTGTACGCAAAGATAAGTGAAATGTGTATAATGTAAAATATAATACAGATACATGGACATTTCAGTAATTTTATTCAAACACTCACTTTATGAAATGACCTTGCGTATGTATGACGTACGTCTTGGGCGGGGTCTTGGGGATTTCCCAAGTACCTACGTCATAGTCATGTGATTCATAGGCTTTCGCAAAAACAAGAACAGTAAGCCGACTTGCCAAAGAAAACGCAAACAATTAATTGGTAATACTGTACTGAAATATATACTTAGCCTGAAATAGGTAAGTACCGGTAGACATGAACTTGAAACAACTACAGCGTCAACCGAACGCAGCATTACAATCGCCTGTTTCGCACTGACGCCGTACAACTATTGGAATACGTAGGTGTTTGTTGTGAAGGAAACATCGTTGTTTACAAACTTTATATTTTACTGACGATACTGAATCTGTACTGAGGATATGTTTAATTTACCTCGCAGATTTGCTGTTTTCCCATGTACACGATGTCTGTTCTCAGATCTGGCCACTCTCCGTGCAGCTTGATAGAAATCAGATCACCGCAACGATTGATGACGCACCTATATGTTGTATGCTTTATATTATTATTTACACCATTAATAGTCACGGTGAGTCATGAACTTGGTATATTCAAAATATTGACATCGATATATGTTAATACTAACAAATAATTCTCGTTACCATAATATTTTTCTGATATCATTTGTGCGGTATACATGTAGTTTTTTAAATCTTTTTTTTGCGGGGGGGGGGGGGAGGTAGAATACCTAGTTCAATGTGTGTGCTTTTAGAGCCATCATTGTACTGAGTCTGTTTTCTATATTTATTCAGTTGGGGTTGGAACACTTTAAATTCAACTTTCATTGTGTTTTGTCTAAAAATTATTTGAATGGCGAGGCTTTGAGTGGTAATCAATTGTATAAAATACTTTTATAGTAAGACAGAAAGTAAAAACATAACACACTGGTAATACTTAATTTAAATTTATGTGTGTTCCTAACACTACATCAAAACAAACAAAAGTATGTCATAAATAGTGGTCATCTTGCATTTAAAACTGTTGACTCCACACTTTCCTGACTAGAGTTCATAAGGTCATTTCTGTGTTGTAAATAATAACAATGGAGTCAAGACAACAATTTCCTTATAATGTAATTTTGTAGGGATTTTATCTAGAATTACAACTTGCATATTTATTCGCTTGTAGTAGTTTCCATGATTGTTTTTACTTAATTCTGGTTAGTTCAGGTCAAAGTTCAGGCAAACAAATATAGCCACTCTTATAATATGAAGAATAGTTTGGTAACTCTAGATATTTACATGTATTGTACAATTAAGAAGCATGTTTTCAAGATTTTCTCCCATGAAAGCCCCTAAAGTAAACATAAAATGAGTATGTAATAAATGGTGGATAAATATATGGAAATTTTGGCAAGAAAAATTATGGCATGGAAATGGTTAAATCAGTGAGATAATTCTTCTTTCTCTAGTGAATTTGTAATGATTTGTATGTTACAGACTAAACTGAAACAGAATATCAGGACAGATATAAGGCACTACAGTAGACCAGTTTAATATTTGTGTGTTTTTAATTTTGTTATTCTCGCAAACAAAGAAACAAACAATTATTGAATTACAATTAATTTGTAAACATTTTGTGTTGCCTAATCCACTCTATTACACCTACAGTGAAATATTCTCTGCAATATTAAAGCTGACATTGTAGGTGATGTAGTTGAGAGCGGAAGATACAGTCAGTGAAATCAAACTTAAAGTTAATTCTTGAGAAGTTTATAAAAAATAATACCTGCAGAAACAGAATACGTAATGAAATATACTGATCGTTCAGGCAAACATTAATTTAGTGAAATGTTTTATGATTGTTTTGTTTTATGAAATTTGTCATCTTTTACCAGTACACAACAGAATGATAATTTAGATAGATATTCTATATTGAATTAAATACATTGTCATCCGATTTTTGAGAATAAAAATGCAAACATAATCATCTTGATATTAATTTTGTAGGCCGAAAAGTCAAACCTGGTATCCAATCAAATCAAATGTCCTGATGAAGGCGTTTATAAGTTTTTCTGGGATGAAGTAGATGAAAAGTGTATGAAGTGTCCACGGTGTAATCCTGGTACTGGTCTTAATGAGGTAAGGTAGTTAAACATACACTAGACTAGAACATTGTGAATATTAGGTACAACATAAAAATTATTTATCGACTACCACTTGATAGACTGGGCTAATTTCAAAGTCGTACCTAAAAAGACCAAGTCAAAAAGTCATAAAATTATATTAAAGCAAGAGTGTCGGCACCTGCGCATGCGTCAGATGGCCATAGTGTGTCATTGTTAACAAACAAGCATCCACCCATGAGCCTTTGCATTTTTAGCGTGTGTTGTTATCGTCTCTTGGGACTCAATTCCTGCGTGTGCGTAGGTGACGACCCCTCCGCTTTAAGAACTTTCTGTTTTTGAAATAATATTTATTTATATATGTAGTTAACCTTGACTTAAAAAAATAAATGTTGTTCGCTTTTGTTTTGAAAAAATTTCAATTTGCGTTAATTCTTGTGTGAGTTAATTATTTACAAAATTATGAGTGTTTATAAGTATCTTGTATTAAAAAAATACTTTTATTGTCCAAAAAATTGGTCAATATGTTCAACTTCTAAATCCAAGATATTTGGATTTAGTTTTGACTGGCCAAAAAATGTATTACAATAACCAAATTTGGCTCATTCGCAAATCATATTTTGAATATTTGAATGCAATGAAAATCTTGCTCATTGTTTTTCATGCAATCAAAAATTATGGTTTGTTATATGCTGTAATATGATTTACTGTTTATGATATTTTATCTATTTCACAGACGTGTGGTAATGATGAAGGCAAATTTGCTCAGTGTACTACTTGTTTGGACGGTGTAGAATTCTCAGATTCTTTTGACTATATGTGTGAACCCTGTACAGTTTGTTCTAATGTACAATCTGAGCAAAAGTGTACCCCAAAAAAGAACACCGAGTGTGGGCCATGTAAAATAGGGTATGTAGTATGACGACTTGTTCTAGCACGATGACAATAATAACAATATAGCTCACATACATCACCATTAACCACACAACAGCTCACATATATCGCTATTAACTCATATGTATATATCACACTATTATTGTTCACATAAATCACCATTAACACATATAACTACACCATAGCTCACACATCATATCACCATTAACTCATATAACCACACAACAGTTAACACATATCACTATTAACTCATATGTATATATCACCACATTATTGTTCGCAAATCACCATTAACCCATATAACCACACAACAGTTCACATATATCACTATTAACTCATATGTATATATCACCACATTATTGTTCACATAAATCACCATTAACACATTTAACCACACCATAGCTCACACATCATATCACTATTAACTCATATGCATATATCACCACATTATTGTTCACATAAATCACCATTAACACATTTAACCACATAACAGTTCACATATATCACCATTAACCCATATAACCACACAACAGTTCACATATATCACTATTAACTCATATGTATATATCACCACATTATTGTTCACATAAATCACCATTAACACATTT